TATATATATATATATATGTGTAGCGGAGAAAGGGAGAGAGAGAGAGAGAGGGAGTAAGAAAGAGAGGAAGACACATTCATTTAGTATTAAAATAACTGGCAGAATCAGCTGATCCCTTCACCGCGTTTAAATAGCAGGATGGTATATTTCCAGCAAATTCTAGTATTAATACAATAAATACTCTTGCGGATTTCCATGAGCTTAATATTCATAATGTTGTTTATCTCACAGTACTGTAAGTAATTCAAGTCCAACGTGACGCGCAATAATGTTAATAAAATAATGTAACATATTATCTGTAATATAAATTTAATTAATATTTTTATTACATTTTTATAGGTTAGTAAATCCAAACACACGCACACACATATTCATTTCTACATATAAACTTTATATTTCGTTAAATAACGAAAATGTATCATTCTTAAAAACACGTGAAACTGAAAGGAGAGTCTGAGTGGGTCGGTCCGTCGCGTCATCAGAATTTACGCGGCTGTCGCGCCGGAAATTCTGTGGTTTCGTGGGCGGTCAGGACCGGTTCCGACCTTTTTAGCAAAGCGCGGAACGTAAGGTACCCTTATGTTCGACTTAGTCGGTCTGTTCATCCCCCTCGGGATCGTCCGCGAAGTGAAAAAAGGCGGCGGCGGCAGCGGTGGCCGAGGTTTCGGTTAGTCGATTCGGAGTTCTCGAGCACCTACTCTTTATTACTATGTAATTAATTGTAATGGGGATTTCAACTGGGAAAACAGTCCGCCGAGAGCTTCCCCCTTTTGTTCGTCCGTTTATTCTTGTTTCTTCCCTTTTCCCACTGCGTTTGCGTGTAATACCTATTTTCATATTGTTTCTTCTGTTTGCCGTATTTTCATATTTGTTTCTTCTCTCTGCCCCGACCTCCCTCCCTCCCTCCCTTGCTTCTTCCTGCCCGCAAAACTCGCAGGCGAACAAGATTTGTCTCCGAGTTTGAATTCGCATGTGGCGCGTAATGTTCTTTTCGTGGTTATATCCTCAGCGGAACTCAGAGCTTTCGAGGCAGTTCGAGATTTATCATGGAGAAACAAGTTGCTATATGCAGATTTTTTTATACGTCGCTTAAATTATATATATAATATTTTTGTGTATTAATTAATTTTAAGTCGTTTATTTAATTTTCGACCTTTCTCTGTTTCAGATCGACCCAAAGGTAGCATTTCCTAGGAGAACACATCCAAAGGTAAGAGAATTACTTATTTGCTTCTCTTAATACTATGAAATACTATTGAATTATACGTCGCCATTGCAATTTGAATCTCTCTTTCTCTTTATGTACTATATATATTACGTGTTATTTAATAAACAATCAATTACCTACTCAAGACAAAAAAAATATTATAAATAAAAAATGAAAGCTTCTTAAAAGTATCAATCAAACAGTGTAAAATAGCGTCAAAGCTATAGAAAGAAACATATTATAAGTATATTAAAGTGACACATCATCTCTGATACTTAATCTTGTGAACGGAGCGCTGAAAATCGCCATTACGGATGCAAACTTTATCGGAAATTATTCTAACGTGAAGAATTGAAATGGTTCATCCATTTGCGCAGTTGACGCTGACGTTTATAATACCCAATCCCTTCGGCCGACGGCACGACGGCGTGGCAGAGTGAAATAGCGGGTTAACGAGAATTACTCGTAGCCGGGGCTCGCGCAACGTTCATTTGGAACGCGGTGTTTTTGCCGCGCGTAGAAAAAGCACGGATGTGGAAACGCGTCGGCGTCGACGGCGTCGGCGTCGGCAGGGGGTCGAGGTATGGGAGGCGGGAAGGGCCGGAGGGGACAGCTTAAAAAGTCAAATGACGGCACGTTCGGAGGGCGTGATTGAAGAGGGAATAATAAAGCCGACCGGCCCTATAGCAATAAGAGCAATTAAACGTAATTCGCTTCGAAACCTGGGATTACTTCTTTGCCGGCGACGATAATCGCGGCGACGAAGCCGACGTTCGGTCGCGCCGTGAGGAAAACGCGGCGCGGAAAGCGTAACACGGAAAACGCGAAATGGCTGCTGGTAGGGGCAAGCGGAAAGGTTTGTACGAGGTACACGCATACAAAAGCGATAAGAGTGAAGTGACGAGAGAAATTCGCGCGCGACTTAATAATATAAATGCCAGGCATGCGGAATTACCGGCGAGTGACTGAATTGCGCTAATTTTAATTGTGCCCTTTCTCTTCTCCCGGTGACACGTTCTCTTTCCTTCTTCCTCCTCCTCCTGTGTATGTCTCTCTCTTTCTCTCTCATTTCGTCGCGGCTATTCCCCGCATACTCTGTATCTTTCCTCGTGCTATTTTCCCACTTTTGCCTACCATTGCATTTTTATATGTTTTTATAACGCGTGCACATCACTTTGCCTCCCTCAAGTCTTTCACTCAGGCACCCTCCCCTTCGGATAGACCCTTTTCACCGTTTTTATTTGGATGGCAGAACCCGAAGGGACATAATTTACGACGAGCGTGTGACCGAAATTACGACGCGCGAACGCGGTAATCACGCGTCTCCGACGAACAAGTCCTGGGAAGGTGTCTGGCAATCTCACGGACCGGGAAACATTTGCCAGGAATCGGGGAAAACAAATTTTGAATCGTGAGAAATAGAACGTTTTGGTGCTGACTTGAAATCAGGACAAACGTCACTTTTATGTTGCGTATGACAACCTTGCTTGGAAGTTCCAACTAAATCTCATCTATCACAAACGCAGAATGTTTCAGTGCCAAAATTTCGAATCCCAACTTCGGAACTTTGGCTGTGAGAAATAAAATATTCTTGGAATAACATAAGACGGAAATAAACTTCCCGACAAGGCCTCAAGTCGATTTAATATCGGAGACAGTAACCTATATATTTTTTATTCTGTCTATTATTTTCTGCGTGTTCTTTGAGAATTCTAAATCTGTGTCTTTTATTTTGGAATAAAATTAATCCGAACGGTGCGATAAAATTAGTCCGAGTATTTTGCCTTTACGATTTAAAATTTCATCGAACAATCCTTAATGGCGTATCGCGTGAAATGTCCTAATAAATATTGTGGATACTAAAATTCGTATTCATAAATAGGCTAGCGTAATAAATCTGATTTATTGAAATTGGAGGAAAACTTGGGTTTAAAACTTGGGTCGCGAATAAGATATTTTAGTACATATCGGCTAATCCGATCTCTCGCGACGCGATCCAATTGACGACTTCATAATTGAAGTTTCTGGAACTGATATTTTCAAGTCTCCAAACTTTCCGGAATACATGTATATATGACATTTATTCTACAGGTCATGGAAGCTAATGCGACGAATGCACGGATGCTCGAAATAACACATCTGGCATCGTACGTTGCCACGTAATGTCTGTAACAAGTGCAACATGTACACTCCATGGTTTTGGGAGGCAGATATGAAATGGAAGATGTAACTTTCATAAAATAACGCCAGCCTTCTTCTCCAGGCCTCACTTTTATTTCACATCTTCGCGTTGCAAAAGTTTGAATAAGTTGTGCCAATGCACGCGCACCGAGATCGGAAACCGCACGTCGGGGGAAATTATCTTTCGCTCGCGCGCGCGTTTGGCGCGGATTCCGACGTGATACGGCAACTCGCCGCAAATATAGGTATGCAGACGAGATACGCTCCATTTTACGCGCGGAGATACGCAAATTAATGTCACTCACGCATATCTAATTGCGCGAGCGTGTAATTTCAACAAAATATATTTCATATTTGTTATTCTCTCGAGTAGAGGGGATCTGAATATGAATCTCTCGACAATTTGCGTGCTCTGCAATCTTATGTACGTCGAGGTCGAGGGTGACGCGCGGCACGGAGACACAAGCCGAACCTCGATTCTCAAGCGCTCGACTGCACGGCACGTTCAACTATATAACGAAATAACGAATGCTCTTCTTGTTATAAGAACGAGGTTAATAGTCCGCGATTTTGCTCGGCTACACACGACGATGCGATTCCGCCCCGGCTCGGAGCTCAAGTTAATATCACTCGCGAGGGCACAACAATGGGACACTTAATACCGCCGGTTCGTCAACACCCGAAACGCACGTTAGACCCAGCTGAACTTTCGGGGAGAACGGTACCCCGCCGCAAAGTTCATTGAAATGTCACCGAGCGCTCCCGCGCTTCGTCGTAACAACCTCCTTGAGACCGCATGCCGGAAGCGCTTTGTTACCGCACTTCCGGTCTGACGGAAATGGCGCAATGCGCTTCCGACACGGCGGAAAAGTAGCGACAGTCATTACCGAGTCACCCTCTGTCCCCCTCTCTTCTCCTACCTACGCTCTTTACGTCGCTCCGTTGCTCTGTTCCTTTGCTACGCTCCTTTACGGTGAACGCACGAAAAAAGATCCCGGCAAGGATTTTACTGCTTTTTGGGAAAATGCGAGGCGTACTTCAGATAATTGTCTGGAAGTTTCGTAGTCAAGGAAACGAATGGGAGGCACAGACTTGCTCGCGGCAACTAGAGATCCATTTTTAATCAGGGATATATGATACGGTCTTTGTCTCTCCTTCTATCTCTTTTTACGAAAAACTGTCTACTTTCAAAAATAAATATTGTTATATCTGAGAGATAATATTGTTAAACTTACTAATTTACATTGTTAAATGCTACATACATATTGCTAAATAAACAAAATGTTTTATTCACAAATTTGATATAAGAATTTGAAAAAAAATCTACACAAAAGTTTGTTGTAGATGAATTAATATTTTGTGATTGCCAAATCTCATTTTGAAAATATTTTTTTGGTTGGAGGCGAAACGTATTAACAAATTCCAATATAAGAAATAATTATTAATTTATTAAAATTCTAAAATTCCGTGTAAATTTTATGGTTACATGGAACATATAGACGTTTTAAAAATATACGTGTTTGATGCAATCTGCGTACTCTGTCTCATTGATCTAAAAAAAACGTCGTGAATGTGCTCAGTTCAACTACGGTGTGGAGTTGAACTATTACGTAATTCAGATGAGCAGGGAAGACTCACGTTCGGTGAGAGTATACGACGCGATAATTCGTCACAGCCACGATCTAGAAAATTATAGCGAGCCCAAGGATAAGGAACGGGCAACGTTAGCGCAACGCATAAACCGCGCTGGCCATTGATGGCACGGCGTCGGTCGCATCCCCTTAGTCGGAACGGGCGACTGTTCGGGACAGTAATGGCATCGCCAATCCCCTTTCCCCCGGCCGGTATAATACCCACTTGTTACTGAGTAGTAATACGTATACGCGAATACACAGGCGTTGTATATATGTATACATACGCGGGGGATATTACTTCAACCGCCGCAAGCTCGAGAGGCACCGCCGGGAGAAAGAAGAAATAGAAATGCAAAGAAGAGGAGGCAGAGAAAGGGACGGAGAAGGCGAAACGGGAGGGAAGAGATACCGTCAAGACGGAGATGGGGATAAGGGTGAAGAAAGGGAAGAAAGAGAGAGAGAGAGAGAGAGAGAGAGAGAGAGAGAGAGAGAGAGAGTGAGAGAGAGAGAGGAAGGTAGGTGTGCGGAAAGGAGGGAAATCTAGGAAGGGAGGGTGGGAAAAGCCGGGATAGTTGCACCATGTCTCGCGTAACGAGCTGTCGGCTCCCCAGGGTGTTCAGTTTTCCCTTCGCTCGTCTCTCTTTCTCTTTCTCTCTCTCTCTCTCTCTCGTTCCCCCCTTCGTCCACCACAGCGACATCTCCACCTACGTGCCCTCACAACCATACAGCGTACTCCTCCTTTCACGAACTCTCGTTTTGTTTCCTTCGTTGTGAGTGAGAGATATCCACTCACTCGAATCAAGCGGGGCGCCAAGTATACGTCGATACTCGGCAACCCCCCCGATCGCGCGACACAGCCACCTCCGCCGCCGTACCTTAATGTTATCTTATATGATTTGTTTGACTTTGCCTCGCGAAACCCTCCGGCTTGTCGTCCCCCCTTCCCCCTCGTGCCACCTTCGTTCTTCTTCTCCGGCGAGCACGCGCGTGCAATCCGGATCCTGGAACTTACACGTTGCGGAAGTAACTTTTTCGGAACGTCGCGAAACGATATCCTTTTTCCTCAAACTATCGAAAACTGCTCGACTGCGTTTACGATTCAATGCAATAGATAACCGAATAGCAAAAGATATATAATAAAATAGATAAAGATAAGGATACAAACTACAGATTAGATCGTTGTATAAT